AAGAAGAGAAAAACAAGAAAAAAAAAAAACGAGGGAAAAAAAAACCAAAAAAAAACCAAAGCAAAACAAAACAAATAAGTTTCCTGTTAAAAGAAATAGTCCAATAAATTCGTAGACGCAAAGGCACTGAAAAATTATCTAATTTAAAGTGGGCAGGAATAGAAAATTAACATCAAGGCACTAATTTGGATTGATGATTTCAGAGGCTATGTGCTTGCTATGCAAGTGTCTCATAAATAAATGTAAGTCGATTATCAAGCTATACGCAATGCACTTAACAAACAAAAACGCCTTGTGACTGACACTTTTCAGTTTTCTAACGTTATAAATATCTTTCTTTATCTTGATTCCTGTGGCAAAATTTATGTCATTTCTTCAGAAATAATTAATGTCGCAGTATTGTTCTCCTACCTTACTTGGTTTGAAGTTATTCCCAAAACAACGAAAAACTAAGACATGGACGTATTGTTGAACTATCAAAAAACGAGATAAAAACGTCTTTTGTTCAATTCAATATATGGCGAATATAAAAACTAGCAATTGCTCAAACCAAACCCGAATATTTAAAATATATTTAAAAAGAAATTTAATTTCAGCTTCATATTTTTCAAGAGTTCGTGTTTTTGTTCTGCTCTCGTCTAGGTTACCAAATCGCATTTCAAGATTTTCAATTACTGTGGATCTTACATGACTATTAATCAATGGGCCCTGTCAAAGCAATTATTACTAGCTTTGTCTCCTTGACAACGTCTCTATAGATTCTTCCAGGCTATACGATCCTACTCTTGTGTTTTTTAAAATAAACGACTTTCGAAACAGCAGGTTTTGCTGAACGTCAGTGGAGACTTTTCAATGCGGGAAAACTTCCCCTTTTACAAAGTTTGAACTGATCATAAATGTTAAGAATACATAGATAAATATTACTTTTCTAAAAAGCTAAAGAAAAGGTGACTCTAAAATAACTGTCGAAAACTTGTCTTTTTGAAGACAATATTCGAAGAGAACGAAATTAAAAAGCAACAGAATACTGGCGTCTATTAATGTCTATGATACTCTCAGTAGTATTAAAATCTTCCTGTCAATTCTAGTCTCTATAATCATATTAAAATGCCTAATATTCGAGATCGTATAACAATTTTATTATTTTGATAAACCGAGTGACCAAGAATGGGGGCACGCGCGCGCGCGTTTTGGCGGGAAAGGGTTTAAGCCAAATCTACAGCAACCCACCAATATTTTTTAATGTTGAAAAAATTATTTAGATTTACGAGGGTTTCTTGTTATCATAACATGGAGTAAGATACCGTTTTTCTCACATTTTCGACTTTTCTTTTAGTTGAATGAAAGAGGGTTGACTTTGTCCTTCGCCTAACTCCTTCACGCATATCCAATCTTACACAACTCATGGCAAACTTAAGGATTATGCTATATTGTAAGTTCCGCTGGATTCCGGTAAATTTAATTAAAGCATCCCTATGGAATATGATGATATAAAGAGACAATACAGTACCAGGCAAGCTTATATTCAAAGACAGGCAATGTGACTGGAATCGGGTTATTTTGCCTCATTTCATGACCAAAATCAAACATATTCCAACATGTCTGAATTGTGACAAAAAATCTGATAACCCACTTCAAATAGGCAAACAAGGTAGCAGTAATGAATATCAACGGATACGTGAGGACTTAAATGTATCTTTAAGATTAAATGGAGTCTTTGTTTTACAAAAGCGAAGATATTGTCTACTACACTATTGTCTTCTCGGACAAGGACTTAAAACCATAGGTCCTGTCTCCCAACTCTTCCTCTTCCTAGCCTGCAGTAAAATGGGGGACATAAAAGAACCTATTGAATTTTTCGCTTAAGAGTAGGGGATTGTCTCCCGGTTCAACAGCCTATCCCAATTTGGAGGCATAACACTAATGTACTAACAAATCACTGGTGATTGTAAGCTGCACGGCTGCTAATAGCGCCTTAATAATATGCAGCCCGTTAAGTCCTCCACTGCTCGTGGGTGTAAAGCGCATTGAGACAATGTGAAATGCGCTATACAAGAACCCCATTATTCTTATTATTACATAAGAAAACCGCTGACCTTCACGATCGCAGGTGCGCTATATTATTAAACAGTCTATATATATCGTTAAAATATCTATCAACGTTTAAGATATCTAGGTGGAAAGGAGTTCTTTAACAAGACTTTTTGTTAGCTATTTTTCTAAATGTAGTCTGAATAAGAAATAATGTATGAGGGGTCCCAGCACTGAAGCTTGTGGCACTCCAGAGTTACAAGAGAATAAAACTAAGATATATTCTGAAACAGAAGTCCTGAGGGGGTCCTAGCAATGAAACTTGTGGAACTTCGGAATATGTATTAGAAAACAAACCTAACATATATTCTGAATCAGGAGCTAAGAGGGGTCACAGCGATGAAACTTGCGGGACTCCAGATTTATCAGAAAATCCAAACGTAATAATATTATACTTAAACGTACATATTCTGAATCGGGAGTGGTCCTAGCGATGAAACTGTGGCACTCCAAATTTATCGTGAGGGAAATTAGACTAAAGTCCTAAAAAGAAGGCTTTTGACCCTAGAAATTTATAAGAAAAAAATTAAACTCTATATTGACCATCTTGACGTTTCGGACAGACATGAAAGACAGGTTGTCAATCATATGATAATTATTTCGGTAATTACAAGCTCTTGAGGTCAATAAGCTTCATAAACGTCCCACAAAGTTATTAAAAAACACGGTTTTTAGACTTGAAATTTATAGCATATCAAAGACTATTGTTAAGGTAGTCTTCCCAATAAAAAAACTGCGCAGTATTTTTGAAGGGTACAGCGTTCCTGATATGATATTTCAGCATGAAGCCGTACAATTTGCCTGCACGTGGTCATTCTTAGTAAACAGAATATTTATGGGTTTAAAAGGAACAGAGATTATTATTGTTACAGGAGCTGCATGATTTGGACGTGTATATAGTTGCCAAGGTATTGAATTAAACATCGGGGTTTTTTATCCCTATGAAACTTAAATTGTTACTGTGTTTGTTGTTTTTAATATGACTTATTTTTATGAATACCTGCAACTGATAGAGTTTTACTGTTTCTTTTTAGTCAAAATTAAACTCTTTTAAACAAAAATAAAAAGAAATAAGCAAAGTAAAATTATATCTGTACTAGCGGACGAAAATGAAAAAATAATTCATGAATGAAAAAATAAGAAAGAGAGGTAAAATATGGTTATTTATTGATGCGGAAAATGTACTGCGGAGCTTCTCTATGTATTTGAATTGGAAGAAATATGCATTTAACATATCAGAAAACGCCACATATTTAAATCCAAATTGTGAGTGCTGCACGCTGTAAATTAAAATTTCCTTTACAAAAAAATCGTTGCATATTACATATATATAGTTGAGAAATTATCCCAACATTCCGTGTTCAGCGACCACCTTCATGTAATTTATTCATGGTACAGATAACAGGCTTAATTGAAAAATATAAGTTTCCAGAAAATGGCATGCTAACATTTTATCAATAATAGTAATATCAATCAATCCATCGATCTTAATTAAAATCTATCAACTTGGCGTTTAAACACCGTCAGTCATCTCTTATCTTACGTGAACAAGATATGCCGGTTAACCTCCTTCAACCTTCGAATGCATTTGACAGTGTTAGAGTGGGAGCGTTTATTTCTTTAACCCATTCTTGGCCTTAACAAAAAGATCCCACTTTGAGGCACAGAGAATTGAGGATAAGTAAAAACTTATAAACTAGTACAAAATAATTAGGCTAAACCAATAAAAAAATTCGTGGAGTGAAAATTGCAACATGGCCGCCATGACGGCTTACCATATATCGGAGCTTCAACTGTTCGGCTTTTCCTAATGAATTAGTGAGATAAGCTTAGCTTTGACACAAGAAGTCTGACATATGTTGAATTCCTTAAAAGCGCTCTAGATATTAAGTTGATTAAGGATCTCTTTGAATGGAAGGTCGGACTTCTTACATTATACATTAGACCTGTTAGAGATTTCGTTTTTATTGTGCAATCGAAATGGATGAACTATAAATAAAACAGAAGAATTCTGCTTTGATAAGAAATTTATCAACCTTAGAAGAAAATGTATGTCACATACGAACTTCACCATCTCGAAATTTAAAAGATAGGATAGGGAAAGGAGTAAAGAAAAGAAAGCCGGCGATAAAGAAAGAATGAAGACGTAATGAAAAAAGGTTGGATGGATGGATAAATGAGCAAGAGTGAGTAGTTGAATGAATAGGTGGATAAAGAGAAGGGAAAGGAAGGAAAGAGAAAGACAAAGACAAAGACATTGAATGAATAGGTGGATAAAGAGAAGGGAAAGGAAGGAAAGAGGAAGA